GGCTGCAAAGGAACAGAGAGAGGCCGAGTTGAGGAGAAGAGAGGAAGTGCGCGAAGCAGCTGTGAGGGCGGAAAATGAACGCAAGGCAAAGATCGCGGAAGAGAGACAGAAGATTGCAGAGAGAGATCGTGAATTGGCTCAGGCAAGAGCTGCTGATGATATTGCCAGAGAAAACGCGGACATGACTACGGATAGTGAGACTGGTGAGAGGATCAAGAGAAAGAAGATTCCCAAAGGTAGATCGGGTGGTGGGAAACGCAAGAAGAAGGAGGATGGAATTACTGATGATGAGGATTCCGGTGCGGAGGAGGGAGGTAGTAGATCACAAAGGAAGAGTAGAAAAGCGAGAAGGGGTAGCGGGAGTGAGGAGGAAAAGCCAAAGACTAAGAAGAGAAGACTTGCTAAGAAGGGAGGAGAGAAGAAAGACGAAGGCAAATATAAGAGTAGTGAGATCGTGGTGGAGAGTGACAGTGATGGGGATGATGGAGCTGATGAGGCGCGAAAGGCTATGGAGGGTGAGGCTGGAGATGATGTTGAAATGCAGGAGGCCACGAATGGTCAGACTACCGCCGCTGGTGGCGATAGTGACGAGGAAGAACAAGTCGTCAAGACGACAAGGAAGAGTAGAAGAGGTATAATTGAAGACGACGAGGATGAAGATGTCGAGGCTGATACTAGCGCTGTCGCTGCTACTCATCAAGACGATTCTCCGAACACGGCAAACGAGGATAATGATACCCCAATGGCGGGGACGGCGGTAGCGGATGATGATGACGAGTAGATTTAGTCGGGAGGTATCTGAATATGATTTGCGCGTGGATGGTGGGTTAGGAAGTGGGAAAATATGATTAGATAGTAAAATGATAATTCGACAAAGGCGATACCACACATCATCATATTATGCATAAAGTTAGCTGGTTAGGGAAAGGGAAAATATTTTTGAGCTGCATGTATATTAGACTGGACGTTTGAGCATAAAGGCAACAAGAATTGCATACATTATCCCCCAAAAGTTTTAATTTGGTGGATTGTTCCGTGGGCTGGTATCTGTTTACAAAATGAAGTAAAGGGATTGTACAGTAGATTTGATCGTCTCTTTCCTCCTGTCGTTTGATTTCCATTTTGGCTCAACTCGATACTTGAGCCCAGCACTCAGAAATAGGAAGAATCTAGATAGTATAATATGCATTAAGGTACTTGGTTATCATCCCTTTTAAGTTAACATCCATAAAGAAAATAGGCGAGAGTTCTCAAGGTCTGTTTCTGATACAGTCGAGGTTGGAATATGTAGGGGAACTTGGATATCGACAGTCTGAATCTCGATTTCGGATTCTAGAATCAGACTCCAGATGGAAAAATGTACCTGGCAGGATAAATACTAACAAGAATCTACCACCATTCCGAGATTTCATATTCAACATAGCCCTCCATTCAATCGTATCAACAAGAACAAAGCAGATAGCAGTTTTTAAAATCATTTTATTTCATTATTCTTGAGGCTCCTTTGACCTGTTCAGTCAAATCGAACCGAACCGAATCGAATCGCACGACCTACTTTTATCCAGCGGGATATCGAAACCCAAAAATATACCAAAGCCACCGTGGGAAATCAAATAGTAATAGGTATGCAGACCAGGACGCCGCCCATATGCAGTGATATTGAGTGAGTGTAAAGAAAAGAATTCATTATGTTCGCCGGTTTCCGTCCTTCTAGATCGGTCCTCCTTAGATCCATCCATCCGTTCGTGGTGATGTGTGGTTGTGGTATTGTTGGATGAGGTGTTGATGTTTTGTTTGTATGTGTGTGCGGGTATGTGCGTGCGGGTATGTGCGGGTATGTGCGGGTATGTGCGGGTATGTGTGTGTGTGTGTGTGTATATGTGTGTATATGTGTGTATATGTGTGTGTGTGGGTGGGTGGGTAGGTGGATAAAGATGTAGATAGATTTTTATTCCTCCTCGTAGAACCAGTATCTAGATTGTGTTAGCATATCGACTAAACTTGAAGTGAGAAAGTAAGGTACGTACTCAGCAGCATACTGCACATCGAAATTACTCGACAAATTATCTTTACAAGTAGTCGGTGGGTTTCCTCCCGCAGTATTGACTCTATAAACCTCCGACAAGCCTCCTGTGGCCCCATCTCTCGCTGCTAATTTCAACCACGCGACAGCTCCAAAGCCCTGACCATTCTGGCCCACCGATGCACCGGTGGGAGCAGCAAGCGCGTCACTCTTTGCGAATCCTCCTTGACCCAATTGCCAATTCTTGGTGTTCAAGTCGAAAAATGGCGTCGAGGAATTGGTGAAGAAATGATGGCCGCTCATCATGAGATCGGCGGGATGGAGATTTTGAGTAGAGGATGCAGCGAGATTGAGATCAAATTGGAGAGCGACGTTAGGGAGGAGAGCGAGGAGATCAGGATAGGTTGCTGCTACGCAAGAGGCGTTGAAAAGAGTTGCTACTGCGCCGACGGCGGTGGGCGCTGCTGTTGCGTTGGTGCCGCATGTGTAGTTTTGGGTTCCGCGACCGATGGCGACGTGCTTGAGGATTAGACCTGTGGAGGGATCGGGCATAGGTGTTGGAGCTGTGGAATTGTGTTAATTCTGGAATCTTATATGGCGATATGAAAGTCGAGAACATACATAGAACTGGTTGAGCTGCAGTATTGAGATTGCACACAGGGGCATGAGACATTTTCCTTCCTGCTTGGACTTTATGACCCAACATGTCGAAATATTCGGATATGACTTGTTTTTCTGCGGGGTGGGCAGCACCGGATGAGAAAGTATAGGTAGGAGCCGGAAGGGCCGTTGCTCCCAGAGCAAAGATGGCCCAAAGAAACGACGAAGAAACCATGATGAATAAGAATTGCGATTCGTAAGACTCGATAAGAAGTAAGAAATTCAAGAAATAACCAAGCAGAAAACGACCCCAAAGGAAAGAAACAGAGACGTCAGTTCCACACTTTATGAAAAGGATGGAGAAATAAAATATGATGAACCGAAACCAATCCTCGATGATATGCCGGATATATAGACTCTAGAATCCCAATCGAAACAAAGAACTAACGGATCGATAATCGAACTTCTTAAGCGCACCGAGAGTTCAAACTGTTCAATGAATAACTGGACTTCCAAATTCATATCTCACAGGCGCTCAGTAGGCGTCTTATACCATCAAACAGAACGGCACGATTGCCAATATCCGTTGGATTTCCCTTGCCATGATGCTAATCCTGGAAGACAGCCGCTTACCACCATGTACGCAAGATATGTAACTATTCTTTTTACTTGACCCTAAGGAAAGTACTAAGAAGAGGTTGTATCCCCCAGACCGAGCTAATCTTTGGTTTGGCGGCAAGACAGGCCTCACGGACCAGTCGAAAGAAACAGGGGGGTAGATTGTGTGGTGAAAAGTCTATGTGATCCTTGTTTCTCGCAGATATATCCTGATTTATACGCAGGGGACTCATGTAACTGTTGCATTGCAGTGTCTAATCATTCTTCAGATGGGAGTTGATTGGTTCTTGATGATTTTTTACTCGACGGAAGTTTGAAGTCTAATGTTCATTGAATGGATTAGATTGGATGCCGATCCGCTTAAAGAGAGCTTGGTGCACATGGGTGAAGGGTACACAAGCGACAAAAAGGCAGATTGATTGCGCTGGGGTCGTTATGTTACCATATTTGGTTTATCGAAACGGATAGCGAATTAGATATTTGGGAGAGGTTGGTGGGGGGTTTGTCCTTAATTCTTACTGCAGATGTAGATCTTCTTCTCTCTCTCTCTTTCTCTTCTTCGTGAAACCTTTGATTAGTTGCGAGACGCAGGTCCAACAGTTATTTCTCACCCCATCCAGAAGGTTTGGTGGCTGTAGTAACCTTTTCCTCGGTATTCATGACAAGACAACCACCAGCTAAGATGACTGAGAATCCAGATCTCCAAGCCCGAGTTAAGGGATAACGGAATGAATGATTACGTGAGAAGAACTGGTGGAGTAGCCTGAATCCTTCGGAGCATTTTTCAATCAAGGTTCTGACATTCTTCGGTCAAGACCTGTCATGGTTCCTATTCTTATTGTTCCTCTAGCCTATCTTATGACCATGGCCATCAGTTTAGAACATGCTGACTACTTCACATTTTAGATCTCTTTCCCATTCAGGTATGAAGACCAATATGCAATGATCCTATCTTCCTTGCTATGTATGCGTGAACAACAAATAAACATTGTACAACATCTTGTAGAACAATCTAATGGAGGTAGAGCAGGAGTACATGGTATGATTAGACGTATTACCACCAACCCTGATCAGCATCGAGGTGTGCGATTAGTTTAACAGCATGTTATATCAAATCAGCATCAGCACCAGCATCAATAATACACATCCAAGCAAGCCATCCCAATTCCCAAGATCCGACAGCCGCGATATCTATCGAATCTATATCCAACTTGCCATGCTGATCATCTTCATTCATGAAACTACTTAAAACATAGCAAATACCAGTCCCATTAAAATCAGGCCATTCTCTCCCAATCCCTCTCCCAAGAAGGAAAAAACGAATCTAAAATCTGCGCGTGCTTTCTCCATCTCCATCTGTGAATTATTTTTGGCATCAAAGTTTCTAATATCCCCGATTGGCCTCCCCAATCCGGGCGCTTATGTCTGTCTCTCTAGTTCCACAATATATCCTATCGAACCGAGTAAAATTCAGATCTAAAAGATCTATATTTATCCACCCAGTCTTGCCAAAGATGTACAAGCGGTAAGTTTATTGAATCGAATGGTATGATCAGAGCCAATGAATAGAATCTACTAAACAAGATGTAGATTTGATGGCCAATTGGATGAATTGAAGTGCATTCGTTCTTTAGATAGCTGGACGATAAGATGATAGATGGCTCCACATTTAGGGATTAGCTTTCCCGGTATTAGTTTCTTGGAAGGAAGGGCCTGGGAAAGGTCAAGAAAGTCTTATACATTTCCAGGAAATTAGACGGCCGCGGCCATATGACTTTAGAAAGAACCATATATCTCAGTCCATACGGAAGAAACGGCAAAAATGAACGATGACGAATCCTGGAACCGTCAATGTATTAGAACAAATTGGCAAAATGCCCTCTATTATCACATGATAGTACTACATATCCTTCCAATCCATTAATCAACCATCAAGAAACCTTCCCATCAAATCCTTCTTGGTGCCAATCTCCATGCTGCGCATCCGCCGCAGAATCAGCAAGTCCTTTCGCACCTCCAGCAGCTGCAACCGCTTGACCAAGATGACTTCCATGTTGATCTACATCCACACTACCTAACCAATATAGGGAAAAGAACACCAGCAAATGAAGAGCCACGCAATAACCGGCGAAGAGGTTTCGACTAGTCCTAGTCGCTAATACCATTCTGGTGATTGAGAAGACTATTCTTTCGGGTAGACTCATACGTTTATATGCGCGAGCCGATTCTCGCCCACGGAATGCCGCGAAAGGCGATATATTGGATTCGTATGCTGAACGGTATCGATTTAATGCAAGCCCAGAAGAAGTCGATGAGGAAACCTGAACTGTAGATGGATTGGGGTTAGTAGCATAAGATGAGGCCGATGAAGCTGTTGGACCTGCTCGATTGTATGTTGATATATATCTTGTCTTCTCATACAGGTTCAGATTATCCTTTTGCAAAGCAGAGATTTCCTGTCTAAGTGACGATACCGTGCGGTGGCTTTCGGAAAGCTCGTTCTCCAATTCTGAGTTGCGTTTCTTGAATCGATCACGCTGAGCGGTAATCATGGGGAGAATACCAGAACCTCCCCCTACAGGCTCGCCCGATCTAAGGACGTCCACAGGTGTGCTGCCCATGGGCGTCCTGGGATCAAATCCAGATATGATTGATGATGTGGGGGATATCCTGCGATTCCTCGACGCAAATTGGCCGATCGCTGATTGAGGATAGCGACTCGTATATGTTCCGGCCACGGAAGGAGCGGAAGGATATGCGCTAACCCCGTTTTGCATATTCGTCAAATCATTCTCTAATGTAGCAACCAAATTTTGCGCCTTTTCCAACTCGGCATTAGTCGTGGAAAGAGTTTCCTGCATCGTTTGCAAGCGACTCTGTAAATCTTGATGAGACACTCTTAAAATTGTGAGCTCATCACTCAATTTTTTGTTTCTGGCAAGAAGAAGTTGCTCCAATGTCTCCCCTTTCACTTTTCCGGATGAGCCATTTCCTGTCGGTTCTGGGACACTGGAATTAACCCCGATATCTTGCGTTTCATCCTCGTCTCCCATAGAAAATTCGATACTCTTCAAAACTTCTAGTTCCTGCTTGACATCCTCATAATCGCTCCACTTTTGGACCTTAGTCTTCAATGAATCGCGTTCTTCTTTGAGCATCCCAATCTCCCTCTCTAGACTTCGGAGCTTGGTATCGAGATCTCGCTTTTTGGCATCCCTTTCAACTCTTGCCGCGTCTAATTTCCTCAATAACGATGAATTTTCGGATCTTAAGCGCATGTAGGCTGGCTCGTCTTCCAAAGCCAATGCTGGCTGGCTTGGGACTTGGGAAGCCGACTGAGCTAATTCTATTCGGAGTTGTTCGTTTCGAGCTTCAACTTCTGCTAAACGGACGCTTGTACGTTCCAAATCAGATGTGACCATCTCCAATTCCGCACTCGTAACATGCCCGCGACTTCCATCCTCTGTATTCTCGGATTGTCCCAGACGCTGGTTGACCTCGTAGCTCGCCTTGATTTCATTCAATAGGCGCTCCTGATTTTCCACCTTCTCTTCCAGTGATTTCTCCTTCGATTCCCAATTGTCCTTCTTTTCTTCCAGAACAGCGGCCCAAGAAGTTTCGACATCTTTCACTTTAGTTTCTAAGCCTTCCTCTAGATTCTTGCGCGCAGTTCTTTCAGTCTCTAATCTGGATTCCGTGTCCTCCAACTGGCTCGTGAGCTTGCTGACACTTTTCTGAAGATGCTCATTCTCTTGTGTAATCTTAGGGAGTGTATCCTCAGATAGCAGAAGGGAATCGACAGATGCTTCAAGCAAAGGATATGGATCTGGGGCCTCGGATAAGGACGAGTATACTTGTAGGAATGCTGAATTCGTAGACTTTGAGTGATTTGTGAGGAGATCTATGAAGGTCTGGTATGCTGTGGTAGATATTTGTGTCAGTACGGCAATGCATTGCGAATTTTGAGGTATACCAACCTTTCAATAACCCTTTGATCTCAGATAGCTTATTTGTGTCATCTGACTTCCGGAAATCCTTCGTTTTCTGTGCCAATTCCTTGCGCTGCACGGTTGAGTCCCTCTGATATTGAACAATTTCTGATGCGGTATTGTCAAGGGACGGGATCATCGAGGTAAGGTCGATTGCTGTTCATGATTAGCACAAGTATTGAAGTCCTGTGGAACATCAGGGACTCACTCCTCCATGCCGAGATTGCCTTTTGGAACTTATTGTCCCCATCTTGTCCTGAAGCTACATGATCTGCGGGCGGAGATGGAGGGCTGGACACCGAAGCTGCCAGTGCTGATTCTGCGAAGTCGGTCATGGTAATATCGACATGCAAAGGATTCTAACCATTTGGTGGTGGAATTGGAGTAAGTCTAAGGTAAAATCATAAATTCTCTGGTGAAGCTATTTATTGTAATATAATTAAGGAATGGGTCTCGTAGGATGAATCTAATAAGTCTCCAAGTATTCACAGCATTGATATTAATATCTGACTGGTATGATGCCTCATCTCACACGCAAGCTGCAAGGTGTTCGTTAATGCTTATTGGATAAGCCCACCAGCCAAAACTTCAGAAGTTCAGGGTGTACCTTGGCGAGTAGACATCCCTGTAATCGCAACCTTACTGCGCTTCCCACAGGGCACGAGAGCCTAACCAAACCAGACCAAACCATTGATAACTAGCTATCATCCAATGCGCCGCAAAAGCAGCTCAACGGCCATGAGTGAGTACTTTTGCCTTGGCCATGATAATTATAGCTTCATAGTAAGCCCTTAAAAATGGCTTCAAATGATCCAGAAGATATTGCGAATTCAAGGAGAAGGAAACGAAGAGTCCAAGAAAATGGTCCTTACGTTCTGCGCAGCCTGATTGAGGACTTGCCCTTGTCTGCAGATGGCGATAGAACGGATATCGAAATCAATTGTGTTGAATTTCTAGGTAAGTAGTTCCTCTTTTAGTATTCCCGTCGTGTTCTTCTATTGCTAAGGTATATCCACAGATCAGAACCTATATATTGGGACGTCGGCCTCGGAAATCCTTCACTTCGTACAGATCCCTCCGGATCCTACCGACATATCTGGAAAGCCCTCTTATATTCTAGCCTCGAGATTACCTCCAGCCTACCATGAGCCGTCTACTCGAGAAAGACCCGGTGTCCAGCAGATTCTGCTGCTTCCTAGAGTCAACAAAGCTTGTATATTGTGTAACTGGACAGTCACCTTTTATTCCTTGCCAGAATTAAGTCCAGTGTTTGGGACGACTCAGATTCGACCTTGCAATTGGATTGGCGGCACAGACTTAAATACAGATCTGATAAGCCCCGAGCAAGATGGTAGAGGAGTTACAGTGCTTGTTTCGCTGAACAAGAAGATGAGAGTTGTGAGAAGTGGGGAAGATCCTCGAGCTGTGAGAGTATGTTTAGTCGAGGTCATGCATAAGTGCTGGACTGATGTATCAATAGACAATAGATTTTGCAGGAAGCACTATATCCATCCGTCGTGATTCCTTTGCTTGTGTCGCAGATTCCAGGTCTTACGCTTTACTTGATGTCGATCGCCAGTTGAAAATACCCCTCTTTCCCATATCCTCCTCAGATGATTCCCAGTCTGGTAGCGTGGGTGGAAGAGTCGAGGATATATCTGGTAATAGCGGTGGTGGAATTTCACGAAACACGTCCCTGACTCATGGGGCTTCGTCAGATGACCGAAGCCATGGAAGGAGTACAAGTCTTGGTGCTTTCATAGCGGGTTCAGAACGTTCTGGACGAGGCACCCCTGACCGCTTATTTCGTGATGCCTCACCTGTACCTATGGCCAGTTCTTCTGGCCTCGCGCAGCGTGAAGCAAGTCCGGAGAAACCCTTACCACCCCCGCCAGCTGATTCTTCGGTAGCTAGTGCTCAAGCTCCCACGTCTTCTACGCCGCCTGTATACTTAAAGCCACATATAGTTTCGCCTTCCCCGCAGGAGTTTCTTCTGGTCACAGGCACTGGTACACGTGATCATGGAGTTGGCATGTTTGTAAATCTTGAGGGTGACGTTACTAGATCAACGTTAGACTTCGCCAGATACCCTGATGAGGTTGTTGTGGATGGTCGTGGCGTTGATGTCGACCCCGTCCCCAATACAATGGAGGAAGAAGAGGAAGGATATGTACTTGCTTCTATGACATATGAAGATGGTGATATAGTGCGACATGGTATTGAAATTCAACGATGGGATCTGGATCCTGGAGAGGATGTTATACAAAAGTTCTGGTTGGAAGCTCCACCCTGTGATGATGCGAGTGGCAATGAAGTAGAACGTAAGATTGGCTTGAGATCAGTAATCCAACCAGGAGACATTTATTTCGATGACGTAGTCGACAAACTTCGGCTAAAGCGCTTTCAACCTTTTATATTGAAATCTTTGAATACATCCTCACTATCTCTGAAAGGTGCTGAGTCTCCAACCGCAGCATCACTGCAAAGGGTTTCGGGCGAGAGGGAACTATTCGAAGAATCGCTTTCGCCAGGTTGGGAAACCCGGCGTAATGATGAAGAGCAACAATTTGCACAGAGGCTAGGAAAATCGCGGTCACGCGTCGTTACCTGGTCCGGAAAAAATGTATGGTGGGCAGTTCGAAATCCACTTGCCCTGCGGCTTGATTCAGAACTTGACATGGAGTCTGAAAATGAAGAGGTGCAATCTCTCGACAGAAAGAAAGCTATTGAAATGTTGAATTCTCTTCGAGGCCGTGAAGCCAAAACCGAAGTTGAGTTTGTGAGCTTGGGCTATATCCGACAGAAAATTGGGTTGCATATTTTCATAAGTCTATTGACAGCTCCTGTGGGTCAAGCCACAGAAATGGAATATGGAGCTGCCGAAGAAGCTCTTTCTGAGGGAAGCCTTGATCCCAGAGTCATTCTTGCTATTATTCCTGTTCTAAGAAACGAGATTATAGAAGGAAAGACTGGCATTTGGATTCATGGCGGTGTGAAGGAGGCCGCAGATAACTTTATAAGAATCACGAATGGAGTTTGGGAGAATCAAAACTCAAACAAAGATGGCATAATGTCTGAACAAATTCTTCGTTTCTTGAGAAGACTCCTGCTCTCATGGCGTCGAAGGAAAGGCTTTGGTAGCATTTCAAACGAGACTGAAGTCTTCAAGAGCGTTGATGCTGCACTTCTGATTGTGCTACTACAAATGGATACATCATCTCCTCGCGGGCCAGCAAGAGCTAAGTCTATACGAGCAGAACTGAACAACCTGGTGGATCACGGTGTTGATTGCTTTGAGCGAGCAATTTCTATACTCCAATTCTACAACCGCTTATACGTTCTCAGCCGTTTATACCAAAGTAAAAAGATGACGGAAGAAGTCTTGAGCACCTGGAAAAGAATCATAGAAGGCGAAGAAGACAAAGGAGGCGAGCTTCTCGATGGCGAAAACGAAGTACGAAGATACCTCCTCAATGTTCGAAACCCAGCTCTAGTCCGAGAATATGGAGTCTGGCTCGCATCCCGCAATCCCAAACTAGGAGTGCAAGTTTTCGCCGATGGACAAAGTCGAGTCAAGTTCGAACCGACGCAAGCTCTCGAAATCTTACGAGAAGGGGCACCTAGTGCCGTCAAAGAATTTCTAGAGTATTTGGTCTTTTCAAAACATCACTCGGAATATATCAATGAACTTATCGCTTATTATCTGGATATCGTAACCGACAAGCTCGAGGCATCTCCAGAAGCAAGAAACACATTAATAAAAACCTACGAATCATACCGCGCCCTCAGACCCCCCAAACCCACATACCGACAATTCATTACCGAAAATGTCCTCGAGGAAGAATGGTGGCATAGTCGTCTTCGTCTTCTCCAATTGCTAGGCGGAAGTCAAGGTTCCGCATCCCAATACGACGTCGCTGCTATCCTCGCCCGCATAGCTCCCTACACCCAAGAGCTCGTTCCCGAAATAATCATCCTCGATGGGAGACAATCGCTCCACGAAGAAGCATTGCGGCTGTTAACTCACGGATTAGGCGACTACGACACAGCAATCAACTATTGTCTCCTCGGCGGCTCCAGCATCTACCATCCAACCTCAGGCACCTTATCCCCCGCAACACTCCCCACGCGCGCCGAACAATCTTCGCTCTTCCACAATCTCCTGCAGGAATTCCTCAAGATAGAAGATCTGAGCAATCGCGTCGAACAAACTTCTTCGCTCCTCGAACGATTCGGAAATTACTTTGATGTGCAGGATGTGTTGAATATCATACCCGATACGTGGAGTGTGGAATTGGTGTCGGGATTTTTGGTCAGTGCATTGCGAAGGATTGTGAGAGAGAGGAGTGAAACGATGGTCGTGAGGGCGTTGAGCGCGACGGATAATTTGAAGGTTAGTGCGGGGTTGGTCGATAGGGTTAGGGAGTTGGGTCCGAAGATTGTAGTAGAGGCGGAGGCGGGGGAGTAATATGGCAAGATGTATACGAAGTGTAGAGAGAGGGAGAGGGGGGAGGGGGACATTCATGGTGGTTTTCTAATTAGAGGACAGTGATAGAGAAGTTACCTATTATTAGTTTCTAGTACAACATTTACTTATATGCTAGCGTGTTCATTTGAATTTTAACATCCTTCTCCGACCCTCGTAGTATTTGCAAAAGAACAGAATCTTATATTGGTATCAACGTATTTAGCCCAAGTGACTAACGACCGCTACATCTCATCAATTAAAGTGTAATGCTAAGCGGCCAATTCGCGCACAACATGCCAAGGAAACAAAGAGACGCTCAAAAGAAATTTCGGTGACGCCATTAATCATGTACACAGCCATTATAATGCGCATCCTGCGATCAAACGACCAAAGGTTGAGCGGGGGGCGCCTCGCGCTCGATATCTGCATTTGGCCTTGTATTTTCACCACCCGTCTCTCCTTCCTCAACAGCTCTTTCTGTATGTTCCCCATCGTTTGCTCGTCCAGTGGCACCCGCTTCTCCATTTTCAGCAGCCTCCGCTTCAACTCGTCGTCTTTCTGCCTCAGCGGCTGCTGCCTCCGCTTCTCTAGCCGCGTTATCCCTCGCAGCAATGTGTCTTTCTCCTACACCCGGAACCAGACTCGCCACAAAGAGGAGCGCAGCATGTTCTGCCCTTCGAATTTGAGTTATGAGCCAACCCGGCTGAGCTTGTCTTTGTCTTTGTTGCTCCAGTATTCTTGCTGCAACTTGAGACTCGTCAAGTTGGCCATGTGGTAACCGAGTAGGTGTGTTTGCTTCCGCTGCTCCATTCTGTGGTACTACTGCTGCATTTGCTGCAGGTACAAGTGCAGCATCTGGTCCAGCTAGTGGAATTAAGTTTTCTAAATGTCTTCTGATTGGGCCCCAAAATTGCTCTGCAACACCATTGAAAACTCCTGTGAGAACACCTGTGTTTATGAGAAAGACGACTATTGCGAGTCCGCTCATCATCAAGAACCTTGACCAGCTGCTGTTTCCAGAAGTGAAAAACCACACGAATCCAATCAACCGAATAACCAACCAAAGCACATTGACTAACTGGAGTGCGACCGGCACCCCTGCTCTTTGAGCACGATTATGAATAGGCGGGAAATCTGCAGCAGGAACTTCTTCGTTTGCGCGCTGTCGGTTTCCACGTCCTATTCTAGCTCTTTGAGCATTTCTATTACGATATTCAGGCAAGCCGATTACATTGCTCTGACGGGTTCTTGAAAAACGTGGTGTATAGAAAGTCTCGGAATTGTTGATCAAAAGGGCACGAGGGCCAGAGGGAGACGTGAGTATGTATACCATTGGCTCCATAGATTGGGATGACGTAATGCTGGTAGATACTGCTGGAGTTGCGGTCAGATTTGGTAAAGATGCACTCGTCGCTACTGGGTTGGGAGATATGGCGGTCAAAGGTGTACTAGGAGCGGATGTGGTCGCGGGTGCGGGGGTAGAAGATGGAGTTTGAGTTCCGGGTTGCGCTGACGGGGGAGTTGACGAAGATCTTGGCGCCACAGAAGGTGCTTGGGGAGCTCTTAGCCTGTCTACATTGCGCAAATAATTTTGTAGATCTAACGCGGGGTTTCCAGTGCTTGCCGCTGGAGATGCAGGATGTTGCGCATAGCTACGTCGCTCAGGTGATCGAAATGGGTTATGTCTCTCGGGCGATCGAAATGTCCCTGCAGGAACTGTGGTTGTAGTCTCATTTATCGTCACTTGCCACCTCTCCCCATTTGGGCCGACACCCTCCCGAGTATAAGTAGAGCTATGGTCAGGAGCCCTGAGTTGAGGTGTTGATCTACCGGAGTTCATTTCGTCTAAAGCCGTAAACATATTTGGTTGTCCGCCAGTATCCGGTCCCCCAAGTGGTCCTACGCGTCTTGCTCGCTGATGCTGCGCAATAAGTTGTTCAATCGAGGTATGATTCGCATTTGTAGATGCATACGGATTTCGAGTAACTGTGGGCGGTGTTGGCATATTATTTCCCAAATTGAGAAGACGACCAATTTGAGATTGATAAGCTCGAGTGCCTGCTTCTAGTTCTTGCTGTAGACGTTCCGCCTCCCTTTGTAATTGCTGCAGTCTTTGCGTGTGCGTGGCATGGTGAAAGTCACGATGTTGTTGGTGTAGATTTTGCGCAGCTGCCTGGCCACGAAACTGTGGTGGAGGGGTCGATGTTTGAGGAAGGGGTATATTCGCGGGGTTATTTTGTGCATGAGGTTCTGCAGCTCTCGTTGGAGTTGCTTCTGGAGGAGCGGGTCGAAGAACGAGATGAAGAGTGTGAGTATCCAATGATGATAGCTAAGGTATTGAGTCAGCGAAAGTATTAGTTGTGTGTATAAACATATTCTCACGCTCTCTTGACCAAACACCTCTAACATTGTTTGCGATTCCCTCTCAAGCATTCGACCACGGTGAATCAGTCGCTGAGCTGAGTCGGTTGGCTTTGATTGCACGACTTCCCTGATCTTTGCTTTCAATTCTTGTACTGTGGTGGTCACCAACAGTTGGGGGAAAGTCAATGGACTCGCGACCTCTACTGAAGGAGAGACGATGGAAAGTGTGAAAGTTGGTAGTTTTGGTTGTTCCTCGTCCTTGGTGGGCGTGTCACTACCATTTTCATTCTTGTCTGGTGATTGAGACATAACGGATGCTTGATTATTGTTATAGTTTCGATATAAGACCTTGCCTTTTGCGATTGGGTTGGCCAATATCTAACGCGATAGCCAGGTAAAGTGAGATGCTGAGTAGCTGTTTAAGATGTGGTTTCTTTCATAGTAATCATAAGGGTTATGATCATAAACATGTAAAGGAGAGTATTTGAATAAATGTTGGCCTTGTAAACAACTACTGTCCTGCTTGAACAATTTGGACGATGTAAACGTTTAATGTGTCATCTACCGGACGAGGAAGTGAACGGTTATTATTATATCTGGTCGCAAGCTTCGGGATCATCTTGCTTATCTCATCTTATCCAAACGCTACTACCGGGGAGTGGTCCCGCTAGTCCCGCTAATGAACGAAACTAGGTAGGCTCGTAGGTATTTTGGAGGCCATTCTCGACAGCGGGAAACACGGCCAATAAATACTAGGCACATCTAGCGTTTCTTTTGATTCTTTAAAATCATTGTTTTTTGTTGAGACTCTTATGTTCTCAAAAGCAAACATTGAAACGTTGACTGTAGTCTACATCTTCGCTACTCCTTAAAAGGCAACTCATTAATATTGGCTCGAGAATGGGTCATTTCCACCACACACTCCTATTGTTCACAATGTCCAAAGAGGATGCTCAGAATGCCAGCTTCCATTGCATGATCTAGCTATCTCGGCTTCATTGTTGGGTATTATGTGTTATGGACTTAAAAGCATGTTCCGTTTCTCCTTTTCTCAATCATCACTCTCAGAAGTACTTCCTCCCAGATCTAGAACATCAAATTGGTTTTCGATACCCAAGCCCAATCTTCTAAAATCGACACCTTCAGTTCTACCATCAATGCTACTATATCCACTATCACGTCTTTCGCCCTTGGTGTCTGGTTCTCCACGACCTAGGAGCTCACCTACTTTCCACTGTGTATAATTAGCAAATATACCATTACCAATACCCAAAGAATGTCAATGGGGTAGAAAGAGAACTCGAGACTTACGGCAATTCTCTCAGCACCCATTCTTGCCCCTTCAAGATTTGGTGAAGCTGGACCCATTCTCAAGCTTGCTAATCTTCCAGTAACAAAGAATGGTACCTCGTCACTCCAACTTAGATCATGTGTCAAGCATGGAAATCCTCCAACGGTTTCAATGCCATATTTCTTAATCAGCGGTTGTACTGCTTCGATTTTCTCAAAGTTGATATCAAAACCTGTTGCGTATATAACATGATCAAATGAAGGTAGATCCAACAACTCGGGAGAAGTCTCCACTTCCCACGATTGTGAACCCGTATTCCATGAGGCGGTAGTAATGTTTGTATACTCATAAAGTGAAACTTGACCTTTTAAGATATGCGTTTTTAGAATATGATGATATTCCGAGTTGACACTTCCACCATTCCTCGCTTCTTTATACATTTCCAATCTCTCCTCGTCAGAATCTGCACTCCAGTAACGAGCAAGAAAGTGATTCTTGAATTTGGCGACCCATCCAAGTTCCATGTCAAAATCTTTTACTTTGAGGGGTCCACGCATTATCTGGTATACTTTCGTGACACCGCGTTTGAGAGCTGCATCTGCAATTTGGGCACTAGTGAGACCACCGCCTACAACAAGAAGGTTCGTTCGTTGCTTGCGCGAGATCTTTTGCACCATATGTGGGGGAAGAAGTTTATCGTTCGCGCTGAGATAAGAGGGAATGAGGGCGTGTGTTATGCTTCCTTCATCTGAAAATGGGCAATCGGATGGCAAAGCTGGGTTTAGAGCAGCACCTGCTGCAAAGACAACAATGCGTGCTCGTTTTATACCTGTGGATGTTTGCAGTGTGAATACACCTGGACAATCTGGACATTCGTTGGGTTTATAATCGATCGAATTAACTTCGGACTTTTCCACAATATCGGCCAGATCATAACGAGTGGCAATATCTTCACAGAAGCTCTTAAAGAGTGCGGTGCTTGGTCTGAAATAATCTGGTCGATCTCGCTCGTCGAGAAACGTGGTTTCCTGCTTGCTTTTGCCACTATTTCAATTAGCGACATTCTTCACATATTCTCGTAACCCGAGAACATCAAGACAACACACCTTTTCTTCATCTTCTGTTTTCTCTGATGTTTACTCAACTCCTTGCCAATAACCCCATGAATCTCCTTGAGTTCATCATCCCTCCCCTCCTTCCACGCATAGCCCCTCAACCCATCTCTGTCTCTCGGATCCGGATGAAAAAACATCGGACTTCTCAAATACTTAATCTCTAACTTCTTGAATCGCTCATTCCAAGCACTCATCCACTCGCCGCCGTGTGCATCTAGCACAGCGATATCGAGACCACTACAACAAGATGCACCTTGTACCAATCGATCACTGGCTGTGTGGGAACGTCGACTTGTTTTGAAAGGTTTGGACGTTTGACGCGCTGAAGATGCTTTCATCCAGTGATAGCGTTGGTGTTCGGAGTCTGTGAAGAGTGATGAAGGGGTGCTTTCACAAAGACGTGCAGCGACAGCGAGACCGCAAGGACCTCCACCCACGATGAGAACATCATGAATATGGATATCGTCAACTGCTGACATATTTGAGGTTTTGTATTTGGAGTTGTTTTGTTTTTCTTCTTGTTGTTGATACAAAATCTAAAGGATTCTAAATAGTAATATGTATATACAAGATACCTATTTGTGGTGGGTACCTTGATGGCCAACCTTGATGGGTTGATGACCCCTATGATTCTTAGCCACTTAAAACAATAACTCACATAACAAATTGTCTGAATGGAAATGATCCACATGTATATGCACTCGAAGTACTTGGTTTGTTTCAAATACTCATTTTTCTCTTCCCTGTCCAGACTTAAGCATCATCGACCCATCCTAATTGTTCACCCATTTTGACCTTTTGGCCCTTCTCAATGGCCCAATTCCAACCTCCCTTTCTCTTCTGTCCCATCCAGCCTTCATCAAGACTTGGTCTTGTTCCTTTAGGTGCCTCGAACACAAGTACAACAGTACTTCCTAATTGAAATCCTCCCATTTCTTCACCCCTTCTTAGGGCATGACCGTGAAGAATGGGACTCGCAGCCTCGTACGTAGCTTCAGCAAATCCGCTATATGATTCTCCGCGTTCTGCAGCTTCGGCGGCAGCTCTGTCGGCAGCGGTATCTGTTGTTAAAGAATTGGTTCGTAGTTCTCGATCGAAGTTGATCTTGATAGAACCAACGTTCGTAGCACCGACAGGGATGAAGGAGAAGAAACCCCACCTCCATCTGCCAAGAAGCACAACTCGCTCATTCAGTGTGAACAAACCAGGTAATGTTCGTTGGAGATACGGCGATACCGAGTATAGTTCTCCAGCGAAATGGCGGCGCTTTTCAGCGACCCAAGCTGTTGGAGAATGGAAACGATGATAGTCACCAGGTGCCAGATATACAACTACATAATACAAAGCAGTCTTGTTCTCTGCAGTAACTAGAGAATACCACGGTTTTTCACCAAGAGCAAGGTCGGCACGAACTTCGGCTTCAGAGGCTGCCATTGGTGTGGTAGAGGCATCACTTGACTTCTTTCCGGGTTGCTTTTGAGGTGGCCCGGAGAGTAAGTTTGGAAGAGTGTATGAGATACCATTTACAGTCGCAAACTTTTCATCTTGCTTGATGACCTCTTCATCTCCGTCCTTGTACCTCGCCTTACTTTGTTTAGGTGTGGCATCTTGAGGTGGGGTGAATATATTGGAAGGGTCTGCAGGATTAGGAGTGGTAGCTGGTTTGCTGGTACCGAGAAGAGCATCCAGACTATAAGTCATCCCCTTAACTTGTTCTACCTCGCCACTTTCGATTGCACCGAACTGAAGAACCCGACCATCAGCTGGAGAAAGCAATGCATTAGGGTTTGGATGAAGTGGGCGAGCTCCCGGTTTCAAAGTACGATAAAAGAATGAAGCTAAATTAGGGTATACGTGAAGATCGGGTTCTGATACTTCAGACAGACTAGCAGAAATACAATTAGAGAGTGCATATTTTTAAGATTGAGAAGTGCACTTACTTAACACCGAAAATAAAAGAATACAATTTAAATCCGGGTACACGTAGATAGTAAGGTATCTCCAATTCATTGAATCTGCCCCATATTCTTGACATGGCTTTCAATGGGAGAGTTGACATTACTTGAACCTGCCTGCAGACTTGTTAGCTAAAAGCTCAAATATCGAGTCAATTACATACCATGGTCCCGAGGGCCTTACTCTTTCTCTCTTCTTTGGTCTTCCTTGATATCCTTCATCATTTCCATCATCTCCAGATCCCACACTCCTGACAATCCCATCTTCGTCTTCCTCTCGCCTCCTTGCCTTTTCTCGCTCATTCACTCTATAGAACTGACCAAGACCTAAAAAGCCTATACCCAAGCCCACAGGTATATGATACCATGTTATTTTTGTGTCATTCAAAGCCCTTCGTAGTCTCGTTCCGAAAGATTCCTTGTATTCGTTGTTCTGACGATAAAATCTCGCAGATGATGAAAAATTCCGAGGCCTGTGACACCGGCATATGCATTGCGATTGTCCTAAAATTGACGAAGTTCGCAGAGTATGAAGACTTCGCTGTGATGATTGAGGTGGAGTCGCATGCGCCGCGACGAGTCTGTATGCCATCGAGGGAGTCAGATTGAACAATCTCGTCCTTGTGATCAAGAATGGGCAGTTTTCAAATATTCAAGTGTTTAGAATCAGCAATGACGAAACTCATTTATTTTGCCGCTACCATTATTCACCGCTTTCCGGCACCGCTGCGTCTTGAAATTATCTTTCGAATGAGATAACAAAAACTTGTAGAAGGAAAATGAAGTATCTGAATACCTAAGTAATTAGATTTAATCGTACTAGATCGAGTACAAGTCTATATATTGCACAAATTGAAGTGTAGACGCTATGTTATAGTCGTAAATCTCAATTCCTCACGAACAGTTTTGTCTGTCCCCTCCCCCCCATGCAAACATGCTGGGTACCCCGCGAGCCCGCCAAACCTACGCAAGAGGACATCTATTTCTCTTTTCCACCAGAAATATCTCCCAATAGCACCATCAGCAAAATATGGCAAACTCGAGTTCAGAAGTCATGGGCGCGTCACAGCCATCCATTCAAATCTCATTCCCTCTTCCAAAGGCTCCAGAGACCAATATCCATCTTCACCTGACAATCAATACAGTTTCAATACTATTGTTCCTCACAACGGCATTAAATGGCGATACTTCCACTGCACCACCTCTAGGTTCATTCGTCTATGCGCTTCCCAATGTAAGGAATTCTTTGATTCCTACTTCGTCTCAATGTTCTAACATATGTTTAGAGAATGAATGCTAGTCAGCCACTTTCTACACCCTTGTGTGTCTACGAATCCTCAGTCGAGTTCACGACCCGTCTTGCAAAATTGTTAGCGCGAAAGACAGGAAAGCCCGTCTACGTTGGCAATTCCATCAGCTTCGCAAGTGCAGGAATGGGCGGGACTGTGGAGGAGGAGATGGAAGGTTTCAAGAAGGTGGTGGAAATTGTCATGGAACAAGTGCGAAAGACCGAAGGTGAAGTGATTGTGAATGGTACCAATGGCACTTAAATCGAAGCCGTCAGTACCTTCAACACTCCTCAAACGGAGATGAAGCTCCAGCTACTACACACATTATTCTAGTTCGCACGAGGGAGAGCGAACGATACCGAGAATCGGGTTCTTGCAAAGCAAGCTACAACTTGATAGTTGTGCACTCTACTGTTGTACACATGCCGGGTCTAGAAATGACTACTGAACTATTCAAGCCATTTCAAGAATGGTATCACCCAAAATCAAAGATTCATAGGCTAAGGTCTTCATCGAGGCTTGTATCATAATCAATTTGGTGGGACAGCAATAATCGTCAGATGTACGACCTGACAAAGAACAGGACCAAATCCTTGGGATCTTACTTGCACATCATTATCACTTCGTCGTGCAACAACAACAGCACTAGGAACTCATCAAGGTCCAATTCCAGTATGTTCTTAGATTGTTCTGAAAACTTTCAATGGCCCACGACTCACTCCGCCAATATTTCAATGTCTATCAAATCTTTCATTGTGCACAACCGTCAATCTTGTCTAGAATTCGCCGAAGTCTCAATAATGTCATGCGCACTTTCTGCATGCAAGATTTCCAGGCCATTTTCCATTCAGAATCTATTTTAGATCTCCTGAAGAAGATAAGACTATACCATTTCATTTCCATCTTTGACACAAAAGTAGTATCACTTGCCGCCGCACTAAGACCCGAACTCTGGAGGGGATTGGGAATGAGTTGGCTTTATGACATAGGGCTGGAGCTACAATGATCAATCATCGGATAAGTATATGTATGAACTGTCCCGGCTGCAGGTCCACCGATGTGGCTTGTTGTTGGCTCCTCACAATAAGTCCATTTGAATGTGAAGCATTGTGCGATACGCCAACCCATTGAACGCAAATCCTTTACTGAGTGAATAGAACTAGATATTTGCAATTTAGATTTTTCGTGAATACGATATTCTTTAGGCTGGGACCTTGGGTTCTGGAGTTACACGGTGTCTTGGAAAGAATCTTTCTTCGTTTTAGTGATAAATTGTATGAACAAATAGTGTATCTACAGATATCAGTCATGAGGTAGCAAGTAGCAAGATATTGATCCGTCTTGAGATGGAAAAATGATTTGATGGGACGTTTATTATATCGAACTTAATATTATTGTGAAACTTGTATCCTGGTCTACCTATCTATAGATATCTTTTATATTTACAGTTATTCTAGGTATAATGAATATATCCAATTCGGCGTTACTTCTCTCTTCCAACATTCGATTCTGCGAATGCCCTATACCATCCCGTCATTCTGCAATTCTGTCCAATCTTATTGGTTAAGCAACACCCATATCTATACCGACAACAAGCTCTCCAGTCAACTACCTAGGTACCCCTCGAGAGTTATTTTTCCAAGCGAGAAGTTCGTTCTTCACAACCATTCAATTTTGGCCTGTAGTTCTTCACCAAGCACGAGTAGCTACGCGTAGTTGGTGGTAGGTACAAGTGAGTGAGTGAGTGAGTGAGTGAGTGAGTGAGTGAGTGAGTGAAAGAACAAAGTCAAAGAGGATACAGTACTAGGAAGAGCAAATTGTCAAGTACACTCGAGTAGCATACGCAAAAGACCCTTACGAACCTACCTATCAAAGGTTGGTAGCCGTCAAAACTCCCCATATAATATTCAGTATTCACTTATTACGCTCCCTCCAGTCATAACTTTTCCGCATTGGACTTGTATGATATGATACGATACGTTTCCATCATCCACCAAGGTATCTACATAGTACCTAGTACTACCTCCCTCCCTCTCTACCTATCGGGTACCATATAAATAAATAAACCCTTTGTCATTTGTTATCATTTCATCCACCGTCTACGAAAAAGCTCTGCGAAAAAGCTCTACGAATAGCCCCGGTCAAAAACCCAAAAAGCTTCAATCACAATTTTATACACTCATCATTCTCCTACGTACGTACGTACATTTATTCACATTATACTCCGTACAAACCAATAACCCCCCTGCAAGCGTTATTATATGGGTATCGTTGTACTAGTACCATATCGAAACCACCAAATTTCGACACAGCTTTTCTCTGCCGCCCTTGGATCTAGCAAACAAATTGACACCCCACCAAACTCCTACTTCATTGAATCGTAACACAATTCACATTCTACCTTTTTTCTTGTCTTTTCCCCCTTCACAATTGCGATTCGTAAGTCATGCTCCTCCTTTATTCGCACCCCATCCAATGATCTATCATGTCCATCAATCCTCTCATAAACCATTATCACAAGCTAACTCTTCAACCTTTGCGACAGATGTCGACCTACCTCCTCTAACGTCCCACAAGTAAATTCTTGTGTTCCCCCTAGAGCTTCTATTCCTTACCTTGAAGTGCGTACCTGCATATCGGAATCTTTAGAATACTCCAAATCGAAGGTGCGACAGGCTCCTAGTGAGAGGGTAACAGATATGGCGTGGCAGCCAGAACAGGAGGCTTTGAGGCAATTGTCAGGATGCTTGAAAGACTCGTTAAGTGGGCAGGACAAGACTGCTCAGAAGCAAGCAGAGATTGTAAGTTTTTCCTTTGAAAATGCATAGTCTAAGATGGAAGTGTTTTGCAGAGCCCGATCTAATCATCATACCAAACAGATGCTATCTCAAGCAAAGTCTTCGCCAGATATCAATAATTACCTGACCTACCTATTTTCGCATTCGGAGGTTCCTTCGGGCCTAAGTTATACTTCACATGATTACTTTGCGATTCGATCGGCAGCAGCTGTTATGCTGAAGAATAATATTAGATCTGGGTACAAATCAATACCTCCTGAGAGTCTATCTCTTATACAATCCTCGGTTCCATTAGCCCTCCAAGACAAAATCCCAACCATACGAAACTACGCAGGAAATGTTATTACAGAAATCGTTAGTAAGGGAGGTATTTTGGGATGGCCACAGATTTTACCAGATTTACTGGCTTTGATTGGGAATACCAGTGGAACAATTTCACCCGAAGCACAGGAGGGAGCCATGGCAGCTTTGTCGAAGATCTGTGAAGATAATCGAAAAATGCTAGACAAGGAATACCAAGGACAGCGACCGCTTGCCTTCATCATTCCAAAACTCATTGTGTTCGCTGCGAATGAGAGGCCACGAATTCGAACTTTGGCTTTGACCGCTTTGAATATCTTCATTCCACACAAACCTCAAGCCTTACTTGTATCTTTGGATGATCTTCTTAACCGCCTGTTTCAACTCGCCAGTGATCCCTCAAATGAAGTTAGGCGACAGGTCTGCAGAGCCTTTGTTCAGATTGTGGAGATTCGACCTGATAAGATTCTTCCTCACATCGGCGGATTGGTTGATTATATGATAGCACAGCAACGAAAAGTTGATGACGAGGATTTGGCATGCGACGCTGCCGAATTTTGGCTTAGTGTCGGGGAGCACAACGAGTTATACACTGCATTGGGTCCATACCTTGACAAAATTATACCTGTGCTACTTGAGAGTATGATATATAGTGAGGAAGACATTGCCATGCTTGAAGGGGGAGGCGATGATGCCGATGTCGAGGATCGCGCCGAGGATATCAAACCCAAGTTCGCCAAAACTAAAGCTGCTAGAATGCAAGCGGTAAATGGGGACAACAATGGAGCAGCGAATGGTGTCGATTACGCCAAACTCGCAGGCATGGAAGATGATGATGACCTTGATGAAGGGGAAATCGAGGACGATGACGACGAGGCCCCTGAAGACAGGTGGAATTTGAGAAAGTGTTCAGCTGCGGCACTTGACGTTTTTGCAAACGATTTCCGCGGGCCAGTTTTCAACACAATTCTTCCATATTTGATGACCAACCTACGACATCAGGAATGGCCACACCGAGAAGCAGCGGTTCTCGCTCTCGGTGCCGTTGCTGAAGGCTGTATGGACGTTGTTAGGCCACATCTTCCCGAACTGGTACCCTACCTGATCTCACTCTTGAATGATGCCGAACCCTTGGTAAGGCAAATCACCTGCTGGACTCTCGGTAGATACTCGGCTTGGGGGGCTGGGCTGGAAGACCCGAACCAGCGAGCACAGTATTTTGAGCCTATGATGGAAGGCATTCTGACAAAGATGTTGGACCGCAACAAGAGGGTTCAAGAAGCTGGGGCTTCAGCATTCGCGCATCTCGAAGAGAAAGCAGGTACCAACCTCACGCCTTATTGCAAGCCAATCATTCAACAATTTGTCACGTGTTTTGAGAAATACAAGGATCGTAACATGTTCATTCTGTACGACTGCGTTCAAACACTAGCCGAGCACGTAGGTCAAGGTTTGGCGCAACCAGAACTCATTGATTTATTGATGCCAGCACTGATTAACAGATGGCACAAAGTTTCTGATCAATCACGAGAATTGTTCCCACTCTTAGAATGCTTGTCGTACGTTGCTACTGCTTTGGAAGATAGCTTCGCCCCATTTGCCGCCCCCGTTTTCACGAGATGTGTGACAATCATTCATCAAAACCTGGAAGAATTCATGGCAGCGGCCAATAATCCAGGGTTAGATACTCCGGACAAGGATTTCATGGTAACTAGTTTGGATTTATTGAGCGCGATTATCCAAGCAGTTGACGATAAGCAATCTGCAGCTCTCGTATCCGGTTCGCAGCCCCAACTTTTTCAACTTCTCGTATATTGCATGGAGGATCCAGAGAACGATGTCCGCCAATCATCCTACGCATTATTAGGAGATTGTGCAAAATACGTGTTTCCACAACTACGAGAATTCCTCCCCACGCTACTCCCTGTGCTCATTAGTCAACTCGACCTTGATTCAATTGTTGATGAACAGATTGAGTCGACCTTTAGCGTACTCAACAATGCATGCTGGTCGGCAGGTGAGGTGGCAATTCAATACCAAAAGGACATGGCCCCATACGTGCCCAAATTGTCTGAAAAATTCCTCGAAATACTGTCCAATCCAATGGTACCAAAGTCGATGAACGAGAATGCAGCTATAGCTCTAGGACGAATGGGCTTGTTCAACGCTGAGATCCTGTCACCCCACCTGGCCACCTTTTCTCAACCATTTCTCAAGGCTCTCGAAGATGTTGATCACACCCTGGAAAAGGCTACTGCTTTCAAGGGCTTCTTGTCGATTGTCATGTTAAACCCACAAGCCATGGAGAAAACTTTGGCGCAATTTGTCACTGCAATTGCAAAATACGGAAAGGACGTTGAACCTGGCAGTACTTGGAACGTCGAACTACAACAAGCATTCCAACAAGTAAGCTATTGATTTCCTCCTGTCATAATGTTTGGACATGACTAACATTTGTTTCTTTAACCACAGGTCCTCGATGTTTATAAGGCTCTAATTCCGGATTTCAATGGCTTCCTCAACAGCAATGTTGCTCCAGCAAATATCGCAGCTTTAAGATCAACATACAACCTGTAAATATCTATATGGATAGGATGACCTTCGGGCCAGTTCGAAAATTCAAAGTATATTGCAATCTGAGAATTGAAATGTTTTACAATTTAGGCAGATGGGCGTCCATGGGATAGGGAATGATTAAAGATAAATGCAAGCTGATAGGTTGCAATTTGACGAGGAAAAGAAAAGGTCAAACAACAAGCATGCAGGAGCTCGAGGGCAAAATATGCATGGTTTATTTGTATTTACAAAAGATATTCAACGTGAGGAAGGTTACGTTTTATGGGATGATGGATGGATACTGATGATTAAAGCGAATGGGATGATTAGTGATTTGGAAGAACGATGATTGAAGGATGGCAATCCAATCCATAGGGGTTGAAAGAGGAAAATAGCATACTACATTCTGGCAAAAGGGATGGCACGGCGATCGATTTTTCTTCTTTCTTAATTTCTTTCCACTTTGTGCTTGAGAAGGTGTGGAACGCTGGTAGGGTGTTGTGGGTTGGGCTGATAATAGCCCTAAGGACATGTCATGCATAGTCATGGGTGGATGAACGGGAAGTGTGATGGATGGATGAAAATGCAAGTAAGCAAAAACAATTAGATAGATATACTTGATCTTGATACCTCCTGTTTGGGCTCTATATTCTGGGGGGAGAAGTGAAAGAAACCATGGTCAGCGAGAAATTGAAGAGGTACGGATGGGCATAATATGCTTTGAATGGGATGGGCGAAGGGAGGCATTTTTTGCAACAAGCATAGCGTTGAGATGGGCATGTTTTTGGCGACGGGTTATTATTTAGGTAGATAGATGAAGTAGATAGATAGCATATAGTTGGTGAGCGAATAGTACATAGTAGCACAGAGGGAGATTTTGAAATGTTTGTTGTTGATTGAAATTTGAAGGATGCGATGTCAGGATAATGCTAACGTGAATGTAAATGTATGAGTTGGAGGACAATTGGGGGTGATGATGAGTATGCGAGAGGCAGAATGGGAAAGTGGGAAAGGGGAGCAAAAGTCTCCGGTAAGGAGGTCGGTAGGAAGGTAGGAGGTACATACCCGGTGTATGAGTTGTCTTTCGTAGGGCGCATACATCCAGTATGATGTTATGTAATGTGCTCTGTGGAGTAGTGGATTGCTGGGCGCGAGCTGAAATACCGGTAGTGGATACGGAGAATGCAGGAGGTGAAGAATTTGAAATAGGGAGGGATGGGATGGGGGGAAGGTGGATACCTTCATACCTGTATCCGCATGCACATGTCTGTGTGCATGTTATGTGTGGATGGATGGATGGATGTGTGAAAAGGGGATATGGAATTTTAGAATTTACACAGTCTAGGTGGACTGGAGGAGTGCGGGTTTCACCGGTGGATTGGACTGGATTGATTTTGAGTTTGATACGATGATGGGGCGAAAGGAGGTGAGGTAGGTGGTATTGACAATTTTGATATTCGGGAATTGGGGAATGAAATGGCATTTAGGGCAGAGTATCCATGCAAAACTTAATTTAACCCTAAACATGTGTGTGTGTATCTTGCACGGGACCTCTCTTTGGATCTGGCTACACACCCGGGTCCCATATCTTCACTCAACCCGAAACAGACTCATGAGGAGGTATCTACAGTACCGCAATACATCCACGCATCTTCCACATGTCACTAGGGCACAAAATTTCCACCCATCTACAGAGGGACTCCACCTGCTTGCACCCTAGATCTCCCCGAGACCCTGCTTCCTTCCACGTTCATCCGCGGAGATATCCCCGGAGCCCTATCTATATTCACTCTATGATAATTTCGTCCACCACCTCCTCTCCGATTCCCCCTGTCGTCCTCTTCAGATCAGATCGGCACTTCATCAGCCTCGGACTCTAATCGCAAATCCCGCTTCTAGACTTCCCCGAATCGCCGAACTCAGGGCCTCGGGGTTTGGCAGCAAATATCTTGTAAATGTTTCACTTCTTCTGTCGATCAACGTTGAGTTTCTTCTTCTTCCTCCTCTTCTTGAGGACTCCGGGATGGCTGTTCAAACTTTATGTACCTGTCAGTTTAGTATTTTGGGGGGTTTTTTGGTTTTGAACTATTGAATATGCTTGTGGGATATTGGAGTCCTTCAGCATGTCCATTCAAACTCTATGTATCAATATACCCTACTAAGTTTTGAGCTATTGAATGTGCTTGTAGGATATTTGATAGGGAAGGGGGTACAATTCGACCAGGGGAAAACTTAGTAGTGAGGGCTTGTTTGAGTCATCATGTGCAGAAGGAAAAGAATAGAGTAGGGAGGATAACCCGCGAACGTGGAAGGGTGTGAGAATGTAGTATTTTGTGTTGCATGTTGCTGTGGTGAAAGATATGTAGGTCTGGAGTGGAGATCCAAAGCAGGAGATACAGCGAAAGTTTGTTTCGTGATGGAATGCCGGAATGCCGGAATGGGATGGATGGATGTATAGGAATCGTTATATGTCTGGAGTAGAAGCGTGGATTGGGCGAGATGGGTGTGAGAATTGGGTTGTTTCTTGAATCAAAACCAGTGAGGTCTTGCGTTTTTGATATCTCTAGAATGCATGATTAGAGCTAATGGTATTGTGGTAGAAGTATTTTGGGAGACGTATAAATTTAGTCATGCTTGGAATCTCTGATGACCTGGATTGGGAGTGGGAGATGAGAGACTGGTGATTTTTTAGTCTATTTCATGTTTTTGATTTCATAGATGTATTGAGATCATCTAGAGCATTGAATTCGGTTGGGACAATGAAATTAACTAGAGTATTGGATCAATCTCGGTCAGATATTGCAAATCTCAACTTTACCTGCCATTACATCCAATGCAACATTTTCACAATGTTTGATTGACATGGTGAGACTCAATGACCCCAGAAAAGGCTGTTCATATATTCAAGCCATGAATTTTCGCACTGAAAACCTACTTGGGACCCGAATGAAGCTCAGATTGATATTCTCGAATAATAAAACGTCTTCTAAGTATAGAATGCTGAAAACAATACTTTCCCCATGCAATCTTGAATGCCATCGCAGACTCCTTGTTTGATTGTAAACGGTGAATAATCGATGAATGATAAGTGAACCCCAGATAGTGACATGTATAGTAATGTCGGCCCTTTGCATGCTGACTTGATGGACCGATTACTCGCTCAGGATGTTCCTTCACCGCGAGGCTTCGCCGCCATACGCGTGAAAATTGGACGATTACGAGGTAATTGCTCATATTCATAAACCAGCAACCATTAAACAATCTCATTCCAGACCGCCTTAGCGACTTCGCCGTCAGAATACTTGAATAACTGTCATCCTACGATTACACAACCACGAAGTCGTGGTGGCTCATCAAATCAATGTGAGAACTCTACTTAGAGTTCTTACTCCAGCCTTGTTGATATCAAGACTGCCTTTCTATAGTTGGGACATGTTTGTTCAAGGAGACGAGCGAAATTATTTGTATAATGCGACCCCCTGAGCATTGGCAATAATGACTAAGACGGCGTGCATGACTGCTTGTTTCTGATCCTATCAAGCGCGGATAGAAACCCTACGTATCGCGACATATTACCTCATGCGGCAATTTTTCGTTCTCCTTCGAATAGTCGAACGATGGCGGTGGTAGTGACTGAAACGGAATCGAGGTGGTACGGCGTACTGGATGGAATCTATGCAATACCGGTACATACCTGCCTGCGTATATGGATGGTTGGAGAAACTTTGGAAACTTGATAATATTGAAAGGGTTAGTCATGATTGGAAATGCGTGTAGGTAGTCAGCCATACATCTTCACTGTTTGCTGCTGCTGTGTTATTGAATTAATGTAGCAATACATGTTGCATCCAGCCTCTCAATTTATGGGTAGCAGATTCACACCATGCGATTCCATATCTCGATCCTCAGCAGACAAAATGCATACTTGCAGGATTATAACCGTTGATCGCTGTTCCAATTCGTCTTTTCTTTACTAAAAGTGGGATTACTGCAGTGATGCTTGAGTACATGCGAAGGAAAAATGACACGTTCACCGACTATCTAAAATTAGATCGAGGGGCTGGAGAATACATGAACATACCCCGCAGTCTTTATTGTTTCTCTTCGCGAAAGTTCTTGTGTATTCCCCTTCCTGTAAGATTAATGCTCTACAGCAAAAGGACGCCCGTAGATAGGACAGGTCATAGATCTTGTGTGTTTGACCTTGCAATAACATGTTATTGTTGCAGCATATGCATGATTTTCCTTCATCTCCACCTTTCTCTACTGAGGGGAGCCCATGAATGTGGAAGAGAACACGGAGCCTTTCTACACCCTATTCCGAGAGACTAGATAGAATGGAAAATCTAACATATTGCCTAAGGACATGAACATCAGTGCGGTCCGAGTCCGAGTGAACGATGGCAGCGGATGTAACAAAAGAAGCACAAACACTGAGTTTTCCTTTCGTCATAGGTCAATTCTCAGATTATGCAAGAATAGGATAGATAAGTCAAACCTAATAAGGTGCTGTGCGTGTATAGTTACTTTTTCTTGCATTTCCCCTCTCGTGCGTCTCAGAAAGGTAGTTCTAGTGAGGAAGCGGGATGTGGCGCACGGGTGGTAGTATAGCGATAGTCCAAACCGTTTACAATGCTAAAACTACACTATTTGAAGCAATTCCTGCTGCCTGGATATAATGGTTGATGGTGAAGTGTAGTTTGAACCGGCAAATAGGATTCTGCAGCCACAACGAATGACTTTCTTTGCCCTCGGGTCTCTGAGAAAGAAAAAGTCTGAATCATGTGGGAAAATCGCTGTCTTTAGATGTGTTGGTCTCCTTCCTCCCTACGGATTGCCTCTCGCTCATTGAATTAGCATCGGAGTCCCCGGTACCTAGGTTCAATTCCACTCCACATATCGGATTTACGGGAGGTGAATTCTCGGGATGAGTTCAAGAATCTTTTCAATACTGTTCGATTTTTGCACAAGTGGATCTAAGAGAACAGTACAGAATAAGGGCCCCAGAATATAGACTGTTC